GGTGGGAGGCAATGGGGGGATAAGGACACATATGTAATACCTTAATCAATAAAGAAAAAAAACCTACTCTGAAGATGAGAATAACTGTTTAGCACAAGTGAAGTTTAATGATAACAACTGAAGGTCATCTAAATATGTTAAAAGGCCTATTCTTAGTTTATGGTCCTTCTTCCCCTCTTAACCCAAGATGGAAGCAAATTAAGTATTTTATTTAATATAAATAAATGTTATTTAACATTCTCCCTTGGATCAGGGGAAAGACAAAAAGAGGAGGCAATCAGGTACGATAGCAGGTAGGAAGTGCCATTCTTCACCCATAGCCACATGGAAACTCCCTCCCCACCTGTCTGCCAGGGACCCCACTGATTCAGTTGTACACCTGCCACTTCTATTCTCCCAGTATCAACCTCTGCTTTTACTTACTTATGTTTTAAACGTATTGATTTTTGGAGAGACTGCGAGGATGGGAGGAGAGAGAGTAACATCACTTGGCTGTCCCACTTACACATTCACTGGTGGATTCTTGTAGGCGCCCCGAATGGGATCGAACCCAAACCCTGGGACCAGCTCCCACCAGCGGAGCTACCCGGCCAAGGCCAACACCCCTGCTGCTGAGAGCTGGGGGCTATGCGCTGTTACAGCCAAAATTAACCTTCAAAAGTTCTTAGTTTTCTTTTTGAGGAGGTTAAAGGGTACCTGGGTAAGTGTCTTGGTTCAACATTTCAACCTCTCACACCATCAGGCTGGTCTTAAGAACAGCGGTTCTCAAAGTGTGCCCTGCGGACCCCTGCCCCGCGGACCCCGGCACACCCTCGGGCCCGGAAGGCGGAAGCGACTCCATAGTAACACTGCGGCTTCCACTGCGCCTCTCACCCTCGTTCCTTCACCGTGAACGCTTCCAGGGGCTGAGTGATGGCGGTGTGAACGCAGGTGCAGATGCGCGACTCCAGCCGTCTCCCATTCAGCCAGACATTAGAGAGATTTGGGAAAACATGAAACACGGCCAGTCGTCTCATCCTCACTAACTGTTTTGGGAAATTTAACTATTGTCACAAATATGTCCATTAGGCTAACATGTAAGGAGCGTACTGGTGTTATTTTTCAAGGCGTAAGCACTTTTCGGATTCTCAGTTTTATTTTCGAATAAGCGAAATACATATCGGTAACCAAGACCCACAAAAACCAGTTGTCCGGAGCTGACCTTTTTTAGGGTGTAAAGGGGTGCCGAGACCCCAAACCTCGAGGACCGCTGCTTAAGCTGTTGCTTCTCCAGGGAACCTCGCGGAGCCTATGTCCCCCAACCCCCAACCCCCGTGACGGGGCCCTAAACCTCAGAACCCCGGGCCGGAGGAGAGCGTCTCCATTCAGTCTGCGGGGAGAATCGAGACCTCAGCCCCGAATTGTCTCCAGGCGAGTTTCCTGTCTTCGGAGCCTCGGCTTAGTTTGCAAACATAAAAGGGGAGGAAGTTGGAATGTATGATGTTCAACATCCTTTCCAGCTCTGTCATTCTTTTTGTTCCTGCCTTTGCCCTGATTTCTGTTTTATCCCGTGCGAGAATTCGAGGTAAAACCAACCCCTTTCTTGCTACCGTCCTGCAAACGAGCCGAGATGCGGAATAAAATCGGGGAAGGCTCCTGGTGGCCGGAACGACGGCTGTCAGACAGACTGAGGGGGCAACTGTCCCTGCGGGCCCGCCTAGTCCCCCCAGCCTGCCCGGTACCTGCCTGCCAGAGACGCCGGCACAAGGCCCCGAGCGCTGCTCGCGCCGCCATCTTGCCGTCGGCGTCCCAGGATCGCTTCCGGGTCACAGTGCGTCCTCGCCCATAGAGTTCCGCAACAGGAGAGAGTGTACCCTCTGTTCCGGCACCGGAACGACCATAGAGATAGAATTCCGTGCTTTTTAAGGGCGCGACTGAGAATGCAGGCGGCTTCCCGGCCCGGGACCCGAGCTCGGTGAGGTCCCTTCAGCCCATTTGTAGATAGTTACCAAGGTCCCGCAGTGTTTTCCTCTACAAATCGTTTTTTGTCCTGTGTGGTTCCTGTTCTTTAGAGGCAAACATAAACACGTGCTTGGAAAAAATATATATATTGACAGCGGTTATCTCTGGGTAGAGGATTAATGGTTGACTTGTTTTCCTATTTCTGTAGCCTTGTAGTTATGTCCTTAACCCTGCCTTCCTCCCCCACACCAATTGGCATTTTTGTCCGTCAGCCATGCTGTGCACCACTGCCCCACGGGGCTTCCCAAGTCTTCATTTCCTTAGGATACTCTAGTGCTTCAGACCTTCACCCAGGACCACAGCCAAAAGGTGTTATGAACAAAAGTGTCTGGTTATTAACGTCTACCCTAATTGAGCTCCAACTAAAAGGCTTGTAATAAAAATTTTCTTCCATTGGTGCAATTCTTGAAGCTTTGTTTCCCTCAAGTGCTTTCACATACACCATCCTAGATAATAAAAGTCTAATATGCTAAGTGTCTGGTCGACTGGTCTGCCGTTCAACCAATCAAAGTATAATATGCTAATGATAAGCTAAGGCCGCTCAACTGCTGGCTATGACATGCACTGACCACCAGGGGATAGACGCTCTGACAGGTGGGTTAGCTTGCTGCTGGGGTCCGGCTGAGGACCACAGCCAAAAGGTGTTATAAACAAAAGTGTCTGGTTATTAACGTCTACTCTAATTGAGCTCCAACTAAAAGGCTTGTAACTGGGTTTTGCTGTAATAAAAATTTTCTTCCATTGGTGCAATTCTCGGAGCTTTGTTTCCCGCAAGTGCTTTCACATACACCATCCTAGATAATAAAAGTCTCATATGCTAAGTGTCTGGTCGACAGGTCTGCTGTTCAACCAATCAAAGTATAATATGCTAATGATATGCTAAGGCCGCTCAACTGCTGGCTATAACGTGCACTGACCACCAGGGGATAGACGCTCTGATAGGTGGGTTAGCTTGCTGCTGGGGTCTGGCTGGTCAGTGGAGTCCCTCGGCCTGGCCTGCACCCTCTCACAACTGGGACCCCTCGGGGGATGTTGGAGAGCTGGTTTCAGCCAGATCCCGCAGGCCAGGCCGAGGGACCCCACTGGTGCATGAATTCGTGCACCGGGCCTCTAGTTTAGTATCATGGAAAACGCTGGGCTTACAATGAGGAGATCTGGGATGTGGACCCAGGTTTACCATTTAGCTGAGTGACTTTGGGCAAGTTACTTCCCCACTCTGAGCCTCAATTGTCTCATATATCAACTAGAGATGATAATAATAATTTCCTACTTCAAGTAGTTGCTATGAGGATTAAATGAGAGACTGATGTATGATGTTTAGTACAATGCCTGGCACCTAATAATGCAAATAGATGATATTTGTACCATAAAGTTGCTTCCACCTCACCTGCCTCACAAGATTGTTAAGAAGATTAAATTTTTTAAAAACCAAGTTTGTGGGAACATTGTGTAGCATTTAAAGTATTGTGCACATGTCAAGTTGTTTGTTTGTTTTTCCTTCCCTGCCCTAATTTGCAGCCTAGAGAACCAAGGGAGAGGTAGAGTGATTTGCCCAATATCACACAAACTGATGAAAGATCTAGGACCCAAACCCAGTTTTCCTGCCCCTTAGACCGGCCTCTGCTTATTGGAACTCATTCCTTGCAGAGGTGTGGCGGAAATGCCCCGTGCGGTCCTATACCAGCGCGTGGAAACTCCACACGTTACCTGTGCACACCTCTGCCGCGCTCGGCTCTGCCGCACCTGACAGGCTGCCCAGCGCCTTTTTCAGGCTCCCACTCTGAACTGTGACATTCCAAGCTGGCTGGTCTGTCTCAGCCAGCGGGGTTTCCAACAGCTCTGCAATTCTGTCGCTGCTTCTCAAGTTGGCACCAGTCTATTTGCAACTTCTGTGATGCTCCTCGGCCTGCCTCTGCCCTTCGGGTACCCGCAGCTGGGGGGGTGGTCCTGCTGCCACATGATGGTGACATTACAGCTTGCAGATGACTTTCACCTATGTTACCTAATCTGATCTTCAGAAGAGGAAGTGAGGAAACTGAGGCTCAGAGATGAAGCGACTCACACAAATCATATGGTGAGTTAGTTACAGCCGAACCAGTGACCCTCTTCAAGACCCCGGTTCGATGCCTCTCCGCCCGTGCAGTGGGCTGGTGCTGACCCTGTGATCAGCTCAGTTCCATTTAAAGCCTCTTTGGGTGTGAGGATTGGATTCCCACTTCCCCACCCTCCTGCAAGTAAAGGTGTTTATTTTATTTTTCAGTCCTCATCTAAGGATATTAGTTCCATTGATTTTTTTTTTTTTTTTGAGAGTGAAAGGAAATGGAGGGAGGCGGGAGAGAGAGAGAGAAACATTGATATGAGGCACATTGATTGGTTGCCTCCCACACGTGCCCTGAACGGGCCAGGAGTTGAATCTGTAACCAAGGTACATGCCCTTGACCAGGAATCAAATCCATGACCCTTCAGTCTGCGGGCTGATGCTCTGACCACTGAGAAAACCAGCCAGGCCTATTTTTTTGTTTTTTACTTTAAAAGACATGTGTGGCCTGGACTGCTCTTGCAACTGGGTATGTGGACTCAAAGCATCCTTTAGGACTGGATACCCTCTCCATTCCTGTGGCCAAGCATGGTCTCTTTATTGATGGGCTCTCTCTGCTTACAAATAGTGTCTGTGCCCTCAGAACTCTGCCTTGATGTGGCCACTGCCTGCTGCCTTAGACTCATAAAGTTTCTCCATTCATACTCTCAAATGTGGGAATTTGATTTGGTCCCCTTGTTTTCCTGGCTAAGCCTTGCCAAATGTCACCTAATGGCCTAGGGCAGTGGTCAGCAAACTCATTAGTCAACAGAGCCAAATATCAACGGTACAAAGATTGAAATTTCTTTTGAGAGCCAAATTTTTTAAACTTAAACTATATAGGTAGGTACATTGTTATTAACTTAATTAGGGTACTCCTAAGGCTTAGGAAGAGCCACACTCAAGGGGCCAAAGAGCCGCATGTGGCTCGCGAGCCGCAGTTTGCTGACCACGGGCCTATGGGCCTAGTAGCTTGGAGTCAGGTGCCAGCCGTGGTCCAACTAGCTGAGGGCAGGTGCGAGTCATTGTGAGGGGCAAACCCTGGTTTTGCCAACAGCAGGGCTGTGGACAGGGCTCTGTGGTGTGATATGTGGGCAAGGACAGCGTTCTGAAGCTTGGCCTACTATAGGTCTCTTCCCTACCACCTTCCAAACCTCTAGCCTAATGCAGATGAGTAGGAGGTCAAATAATTCTGGAGAGTTGATGCAAGTCCACCTTGCTTTATATCCAGGAAAAATAAAAGTATGTGCATCAAATATTTCTAAGTTATATTTTGATTGCACCAGTGGTTCTATCCTATTTTTTAATTTTTTTGTTAATCCTCACCCTAGGATATTTTTCCATTGATTTTTTTTGGGGGGGAGGGCGGTAAAGAATTATGGTCATCTGGAAAGCCAGATGGGCTGAGCCACAAAATGGCACCCGGCTCCATTGATTTTTAAAGAGTGGAAGGGAGTGGGAGAGACAGAAAGAAACACCGATGTGAGAGAGACACATTTGGTTGCCTCCTGCACGTGCCCTGAACCAGGGTTGGGAATCAAGTCTACAGCTGAGGTATGTGCTCTTGACCGAATCAAACCCAGGACTCTTCAGTTCTCAGGTTTACGCTCTATCCATTGAGCCAAACCGGCCAGGGCCAGTGGTTCTGTTTTAGGAGACAGCCCTTTTCTCTTGGTTGTGATGGTTTCATGGTTAATACTTATTTCCAAACTCATCAAGTTATATACAGTAGATATGCATAACTTTTTATGTCAATCACGTCTCAATAAAGTGGTTAAAAATGGTAATACTGCCAAAAATAAAATTATACAAGCAGAGGAAGTATCGACCCAAAACAGCCAAAGGAGAGATCAGTGTTGCATGTAACCGTGTGTAGGAATGCAAAGCAAGCATGTAGGGCTGCCTGAAGCAAACACTTCCCTTGGGGTGGGGTCGGGGGGAGAACAGCTCTTTTCAAAAGATTATCTCTCTTATTTAAAGGACATAATCAGCCCTTGGGCTTTTATACAGGAATATCTGCGATCCAAAGATCACTGTGGTTCACTTAGGAATATATTATTCAATTTCTTAACATGCCTTCCTAATTGTCTTGCTTGTGTCAACATTAAAACTCATCCGCATTCCTAGAGCGAACTGTAGCCAGCTGGCTGTGGCTGAGTCTGTGGAAATTCAGAACTGACTTTAGGTAACTTCAGAAGAGGTTTTGTTTACACACACACACCTGAAACATTAGCGATAATTAGTTTAACAGATTGTTGCTGAGCACCTATTCTAAATTGCTGTGCATATGTGGGCAATGGTGAGGCAGTTCACAATATTAGTAAAGCATGACCTTTGCTTTTCCCAGCGGTGGAATTGGATCAGTTCCCAGGGCCCTGTGTTCTCTTTCTAAGTATTGAATTCCTTGGCAGGAAGGAATGATGTCACAGTCGTTTTCATACACTCAGCTCCCCCGGGGATAATACAGTGTGGAACAGTGCCTGGTACACGGGGCTCCTGGGGACTGAATGGATGACTGTAACAGTAGGAGAAGGCTTCGGATTGGACACCTGAGCCCCTGGAAGCAGAACTTAAATGTACAGTACGGGCTAATGCAGCGCTTCTAGAGAAGCGGTTCTCAACCTGTGGGTCGCGACCCCTTTGGGGGTCGAACGACCCTTTCATAGGGGTCGCCTAAGACCATCGGAAAACACATATATAATTACATATTGTTTTGTTTGTTTTTTTAAAATATATTTTATTGATTTTTTACAGAGAGGAAAGGAGAGGGATAGAGAGTTAGAAACACTGATGAGAGAGAAACATCTATCGGCTGCCTCCTGCACGCTCCCCACTGGGGATGTGCCCACAGCCAAGGTACATGCCCTTGACCGGAATCGAACCTGGGACCCTTGACTCCGCAGGCTGACGCTCTATCCAGTGAGCCAAACCGTCAGGGCTACATATTGTTTTTGTGATTAATCACTATGCTTTAATTATGTTCAATTTGTAACAATGAAATTGGGGGTCACCACAACATGAGGAACTGTATTAAAGGGTCGCGGCATTAGGAAGGTTGAGAACCACTGTTCTAGAGGAATAGCAGCTTAACACTGATAGCCAAAATAAAAGTAAAACAACAAAAGAACCTAGAACAGTGGTCGGCAAACTGCGGCTCGAGAGCCACATGCGGCTCTTTGGCCCCTTGAGTGTGGCTCTTCCACAAATAACACGTGCGGGCGCGCATGTATAGTGCGATTGAAACTTCGTGGCCCATGCGCAGAAGTTGGTATTTTGTGGAAGAGCCACACTCAAGGGGCCAAAGAGCCGCATGTGGCTCGAGAGCCGCAGTTTGCCGACCACTGACCTAGAAGATCAAGGTCTTCACAGGTGTGCCCCACTTAAAGCAAATTCTGTATAGAATCCAGAATTTCAGATTTCTCTTGAAGTTTATTGTTGACCATTAAAAAGTAAACACACTCTTTAGAATCTGGAAATCCAGATTAGCAATGCATGCAAACTGTGAGATACCTGTGTGACTACGAGGCCCCTAGTGGTTAGAGACCACCAACTCATCCACTGCTTGAGTACAGAATTCTCAGTCCCGGCCTCCCAGGTGGGGGCGGGCACTTTAGTGAACATTAAATCTGACCAGCAGACTTGTAACGGGTCTAGAGAAGCCAACTAACAGGCAAATTCGCATCTATCCGGCACTGAGAAGTCATTTTCGTGGCTAGAAATAAGGAATGTTTAAGCCAAATGAAACTCAGAAAGGTAACATTTTATTTTCAGAGCAGCTGATGCAATATATTGAGTCAGGTTTTCACAAATAAATAAGACAGTGGCTATCTGCTTACATCTCTAGTTGAAGAATGCCCCTCGAGTGGAACTGCACACATTTCTGCGGCTCCTGACCGGAACCTTTGCAGTGGAGTTCTCCTGGCTCTCTTTCTGAAAATAAATATTGTGATAATTTAAAGAAAATGCTATCGCTTGGGGGGAAACCAGCATGGAATGCCCAGATGCTTTTGTTTTAAAGGAATGCACCTTTTTAGGACAAGTCTATAAAACATCTTTATTTTTTTGTTACATGTGATGTTTAAATATAACTTTGCTTTCAAGCTTCAAACTTTTTTTTTTTTTTAAACCCCTGGTAAAATAAGACTTTTGGTTCGCCTTTTAACAAAAACTGACCTAGGAAGAAACATTTTTAGCAAAATGTATTATAAAATCACTAGAAAATACTGTCCTCTTTTTGCCAAAATGTTACATAAAATCCTTATTAAAAATACACACATTACAAAAGAAAAATTATGAATATGCTATACATAGTGCTCTTGATATGGACCAAGGGACCTGCATTCCGGGGGGGAAAATACAGTTAAGCACACTAGATATTATGATGTCAACTTATAGTGCAAACCTGAATAAATTACATCCTGAAATGGGAAGGCATGCAAGTCATCTGCTGAGAATAGAACATAACAAAGCCAGAACAGGAAGCAATCACAACCACTATTTAAAAATGTTTTCGTTTTTATTACATTAATTTTTTTCAAAAATACTTTTCTTTACAATAGAACTCCTAGAAAATATTTACAACCTTCCTCTAATAAAATATAACAGCAGTTAAATATATTTGAAAATAAGATGGGTTTTTCCATAAAATATATCTGTTAACTTTTTATATACAAGCTTTCTCAAAGAGATCTAAATTCACTAATGAAAAACCATCTGATAGTAAACAGTAACCATGTTGAAGACTTTGACCTTCAGGAAGAGAAGTTCTCTGGGGTGGGGAAGGCTGGGGGGGAAGCCAAAACACAACACATACATGCAGGCAGAATCGTTTCAGAAAAAAAAAAAAAAGCACAATGTTCTACTATGAAGTCAATTCTTTTTAAGTTGATATTGTCCAAAAATACTAATTCAGGAATTTGAACTGTCTCATTAAGGAGGAGTTCTTTGGTTATTTCAAGTCAAAGAATGCTTACACTATACTGCATGGAAAATCAAAGTTATATTGTGCATTATATTTTTTGCCTTGGCAACTCAAGTTTATTTTTCATGTTTAAAACTGGAACGGCTGGGCAAGTCTCCAAACATAACGAATACGTTTGCTTTATAAACATTTTTCTGGGTGTTGGCTCCTTTGTTAGATAAGCTTTCGTACATCCCAATAGCAGAACCTTTCCAGAATCACTCTCAGACATCCGCAAGCAGAGGGGAGTGGTCACTGGGACAGGGGCCATCGGCCAGTGTCGCCCTGGGATGGTTCTGAGACAGCTCGGCCGTGAAGGTGATGCAGTGCCCAGGCAGGTCTGGGCTCAGAACATACGAGAATGACCTGTCTGAAACGGCAGCAAATAAAACACCTCGTTTTCCCCTAAAGAAAAAGGAAACTTCCAAGATCTCTTTTCTGAAAACAGAACGATTGAAATGAAAAGAACCTTTGTATTTATCTTCTGCCCTTGGCTTTCCTGAGATTCAGAGAACACTGCCTGGGTGGGGCCGCCGAGGGCCATGAATATGTGCTAAATGCTTCTGCAGAGACAAACTTACCCTCCTGCTTCCGCTGATACTGCCTCTAATGTTAAGCTATTAACATGCCAGCAGAGCGGCCCAGCATGATGGCTACACCCACAGGAGCTGGGGAACTAGCCTACCTGGGGCGGGAGTCACACATTCCAGGGGCCCCCTCCCCACCAGAGCGGTCCTCTCTGTGCCGGGCCTTGTCCCGTCTGAAGGCGCGCTCATTTGCCCCAACAGTGGGACAGGTCCGTCTGACTCAGCTCAAAGCCTGAGCTACATGGCATTTTTGAAGGATTACAGGTTTATTACCTTCAAGTACAAACAGAAACCCTGATGACAGGGACAGGAGGAGGCAGAGTTATGTGGCTTGGAAGATTGTAGAAGTGCTTTGGTAAATGACTAACGAATACATTCATTGTTTGAATGCAAACATTGTAGCTAAAGTGGTATGTGAAACCATTTTTGTTGGCCTTTAGTGCTACATCCCTTGAATTTGCTATCAAATTTCTTAGAAAACCCTTTTCTTCATGGTTAGCATCAAGATAAACTTCGGTCCAGCACAGATGAGTTACAGCAAAGTCCCAAGTGAGTGAGGTTTCACAGGACTTCGGAATGGCACAGAGTCGTTTCAGGACTCCACTGACCACTAGCAGTGTTGCAAAAACAGAACGGGCTCTTCCCATCTAGTTTTTGGGCAAAAGAACACTTCTTGGCCTTCCGGGGACTTCAATGTGTGCCTCTCAACCACCCTCCCTACAAACAGCCCCGGCAACTAAAGAGTTGGGGTTATTTTCTTCCAGATGGACCTCGAGTGCACGCTCACGGAAACACAGCTCTGCCCACCCACAGTGAGCACGGAAGAGGCCGCCACACTGCTCCATGGACCAGGTCTTCAGCAACTCCCCTCGGGGGAGCGCGAGCCTGAAACCATGCGGTAATCAGTTCCTAGGAACAGGCCAGTGACAGGCAAGGCAGCGAGCAAACTTATTCTCCCAGTGGCCAACTCTTCAAAGGACCTGTGTGTGGAGGCAAGCGTGGCACGAGGGCTTCCTTAGCTCTCTGGAAAGCTACCCGCGAGCACAGTCTCCCGGCGAAGACGCCAAGTTCACGGCGCGCTACAGAGTGAGGTCAGAGCAGAACCAAAATAACTCTCGGTGGGAAAGGATGGCCCAAGGCCCCAGCAAGAGGAGGGCGGCCTGCTTCACACGGACACACGCACACGCACACGCACCGCAAGCTTTGGGACAAAAGGCAGTCGGGAGGGTTGACATCTGAAAGCAAAAGAACATCAGCGTCGGGCTCACCCCCTGCCAGGAGTGAGTTCACGGGAATGCAGCCCAGACGAAACACCTCTTACAGAGAGTTGTGCCAATGATTTATTCCCCCCAACCTCCCACAAGAAAACAAATTTAAATAAAAGGAAAAGAAACTGGATTTTTTTTTCTTCTAAACCTGAATAAAACGACCATTTTTTAAACAGGTAGTTTAAAATGGTTACAGAACAAGCAGGCAGTCCAGGCTTCCTGATGCGTGAAGACGGAGGAGGCCGCGAGCTTCGCCGTCTCTGAGTGACAAGCAGGCCTTTACAGTTCCGTGTCCCCCTGAAGCAAAACGGGGTCTTGATCATCCAAGAGGAGGTCGGTGTCCACGGCCTCGGCCTCTTCCATGACGCCTCCCAGCTGCTGGACAACGTCGTCATCGAGGATGTCCACGTCCTTGATGGGTTTGAGCAGACTCAGCTGGTCCAGGGGCAGCAGCCGCGGCGCCCCCACCGGCCCCGTAGTCCTCTCGATCGTGGCTGCCATTTCCGCCGCAAAAGCCGCCTTCTGAGCCTTTTGCCTCTGCTGTTCCTCCTGCTGCCTGTGCGTTTTCATGTGTGCGTTTCGGCTTTTGATCTTGAAGAAGACTCTAAACGTGAAGAAAAAGCAGCGTGTGAGACTTGGGAGGTCCGAGCACAGGGGGCGCGTGGCGGGCCTCTGTCTGAGCTGGCTTTGACAGGGTCCTCGGCTCCTTAGCTCCTAGGACTTCCTCCTCTTGGGACCTGTCACCTCTCCTCTGTCTTCTCAAAGCATGGCAAGGAAAGGGGGTGGGGACAGAGACACATTACGGTGTGTCCGGCCTCCTTCCTGTGGGAAAACCCTCAAAGGCCTTCCTGTCCATCTGTGGTCTGGAACACAGGCCCTCTCTCTGTCCATCACTACCCAAGCCTTTTCGACCAACCTGAGAGTCCCCAAGCCATGCCACTGAGCTCCGGTGGTTCCCATCAGAAACAACCCATCACCCCCCGCCCCAGCCTCCGGCCCTGTTCTTCCGCAGTCAGAATTCTTCAGGATCTGCACCAACTGGACTGTTGTCCCCTCGACTCCAACCCAAGTGCTCTTCTCAAGGTCACCAGTAACTGTGTGGCCAAAGCCCATGGCCCCTCTGTCCTTGCTGTACCTGACTTCTGAGCTGCAGCCACCAGTCTTTGTCACCTGAGACCCCTTCTTGTTGGCCGATTATCATTGTTTTCTACCGTTTCCTTAAGAATGAAACAGTGGTTCTCAGCTGGGGGTGACTTTGCTCCCCAGGGAACATCTGGTAATGTCTGGAGACATTTCTGATGGTCACAACTATGGGAGGAGTTACTCCTGGCATCCAGTGGGTAGAGGCCAGGGATGATGCTAAGCATCCTACCGTGCCGAGGGCAGTCCCACTTCCACAAACAAGAAATGATCAGTGCTGAGGCTGAGAAACCCTGGGATAAGAGGGCTGCAGACTACGGTCAGCGGGCCCAGTGCGGCCAGCCACTGCCGGTTTTGTAAAGAAAGTTTTACTGCAACACAGCCACGTCTGGCCTTCATGTTAATGTGCCCTATCGGGATCTTTTTCAGAAAGCTTGCCTAGAGGTGAGACTGCCTACTTATGGAGTGGGGACAGCGTAAATGCTCTACACTCATTGCTGAGCTCCTAAAGGAGGGAAGAACAAAAACAAAAAATCAAAGCTGATTCCTAAGACCAGAGTCAGAGTTGATGAATCACAACTGGACACACGGAAAACTGAATTTCAGCAGCTAAAAGGCATTCTGCAACCATTTGCCTAATGTTATTCCCAGTTGGGAAAACCACAGAAACTACTTCTATTTTCCATATAAATCTTTCCTGGAGTGAAGGTAGGAAAGGGTTCCAAGCAACATAAAGACAAGATGAGCCAGATGTCCCTGGGAGAGCCGGAAAGCTCGAAACATGAATTTTTGTTAAAATGCCCTTTGTCTCCACCCTGCGGGAGCAGAGGAGTGGAAGTGCCGTCTCCTCTCAGAGGAAACTGGTGAGACCCCGACACCCCCACCCCCACCGCCCCAAAGCAAGCAGGTGGGAGGTGAGGAGTCAGCCTGAGGAGGTTCATTATTTCAAGCCAATAACCCTAATGATCATTGCAGGGGCACTTCTTCCCCGTGACACGAAGATGACAGCACACCCTGGCTCCGAAGGACATCAGAGCAGAGAGGAGGGGACTGGCGCCTAAACCCGCCTGCCCCACCTCTGCGCTTCTCAGAGGGAGCGCGCCGCTGGCTCCAGCTCCCTTTGGTGGGGGCTGCTGAGCAGTCAGGTGTCCTCAGGGGCTAAGAACCTGGGTCGGGCCAGCCTGCCTGCTGTCGATCTCCACTCAGCTATGCACCGTGACAAACTGCTTAGCCTCTCTGTGCCCTGTGTCTCTGCTTATAAAAAAGAAGCTACTAAAAGGACCTACTTCACAAGGCTCCTGTGAAGATTGAATTAACCAACACGTGCAAACATCCTTGAAAGGAGTGCCAGGCAGGGGGTGAGTGCCTGATAAGGGGCAGCAACTAGTAAGTTCCTCGAAATAGCCCACGAGAATGTGTATCGTAAAGTTGGTCTTGTTCACCCAACTAGGGGTGTTTTCCTGGTAGAGTTCCAGCAGCTACCTGGTGGCCATCTCTCCCGGTCATATCACTCTTCACGTGTGAGGCACTGGAGAATATGGGAAGAGAAACTCGGCGAGGGTCCTAAAGGATGTCACTCATAACGTCTCACCTGACCCCTGCCAGTCGGGCAGGCTCACTGGGGAGTGAACTGGAATTCTGTACTGGATGCTGTGGGAGGGAACCGTGTGCATCTTACCACCAATGATATTTTCTCTCTAAAGTAAATAAATGAACAGTGCAAGCCAGCAGGAGGGAGCAGGGGTCAGGAGCCGGGCTCTGCATTTGAACACAGCCGGGTTCAAATCCCAGCTCTGCTCTTATGAGTGGTGTGACGTGGGGCAAGTCATTTCACCTAACTTTCAACCCAAATTTGTAAAACAAGTATAAAAACTTGGAGTTGCTGGGTGAGGATTCAGTGAGCTCATGCACATGAAGTATACGGCAAAATAAGTGCTCAGTAAATGCGAGCTGTTACTATTACTACCCACTGTCAGTTTCCCCCTCTTCGCTGTCCTTTTAAATCATACTTAAAAGGGCAGGGATGCTAAATAGGTGTTCTCTCACGAGTCAACTCTGATCAATTGATTGGGCCCGCTTGAAGCATTATGATGAAAAGGGTTTGAAGTCTTGTCTTACAGTGGTAGCAAAAGTGCAGCGATTGATTGGTGATGTCTGCCTGGGCACAGGAATGACAGCAGGGGAAGGCAAGCCATCTCTGCTACAGAGTTCCTGAGTAGGTGTCTTAGAGCCATTCTCAAACTTCACAGGGATGCAAAGAGAGCAATGCCAATGAATATGGTTTGGGAGTGATGGGCAGAAGTTGGAAAATTTTACATTTCCCACATTTTTGGAAAAGAGTAAAATGTTGTCACTAGAGGTTTGCTCTCTGAAGACATCCACCCTCATTAGGCTGTGAGACACCAGAATGACCAAATCCCAAGTCAGAGACAAAGTGCACACCCCCGAGGCCCCATGCAGACCCCCTGGGTGGTATCAGGGAGAACTCAGAGCCCAGGTTATTTTTCTAACTGAAGACACCTCGGGCCCTCCTGGCCCGGCCCCCACAGAGCGCATTACCCATCGCACACTTAGATCCGGTCCCCGGTCCAATTCCACCTACTTGCCACACTCCTTGCAGGGGAAGACGGTGGTGGGGTCGGTCTCGCCGCTGGTGGTGCTATGAGAGGGCGAGCTCTTCACCGAGCAGTACCCGCTCTGGGCACTGCTCGGCTTCTGCTTCCCAGAGGGGACAGCGCCCCGAGCTTTGGTCACCTGGTTGGTGCCACCGTGGATGCGGGCGTGGCCGTTCAGTGCCTGTCGGGAGCTGAACACCTGGGGAAGAAAGGGAGTGACATGACATCTACAGTCCTGAAAAGGAAATTAGGGTTGTTAGTGACTCGATGGTAAAACATGAGATTCCTGCAACAGCGTCTAACGACAGGGCACGGGGACTTGACACAGCAAACTTGGGCACACACCACCCTCAAATGCTAGGCTATCCCAAGCCCCACCGCTGTGCTAACGGGAAGACGGGAGGCGAGGTGGCAGTGCAGAGGACCCAGCTGCCGGCCGTAGTCCGGGGCTGGGAGCCAGACGCAGCGCCTGTCCACTGGGGGTGCTATGGGGCCACCCTCCCCTCTGGTCCATCTTATTTTCGCCCCCATCTGTATAATGAGGGGGTTGGGCCAGCTTTCAAACTTTTTTTTACACCAGTAACTATCTTTTTCTTTTCTTTTCCCCTTTCCTTTCTTTCTTCACTTCGAAAGGACAAAAATAAATCAGGTCTTCCTCAAAAACTCAAAGTGACAAGCAGAGGTGCCCTGGTGGAAATAGAGCCAGCACCCCAGAAATGAGCCCGTTTGCTCAGCTCCTCCCAGGAAGCCCTAGGACCTGAAGGAGCACATTGGGAAAGACACTGTCCGGCTGCTCTGAGTCTGTATGCGAAGTCCAACCCCCAATCAGCAGCCCATGACGGAAGCAATGTTTCAGACCCCCCCGTTTCACTACAGGATGATGAACAGGGGACGGACCGGACAGTTTTATGAAGCTGGCCATAAAGCAGGCTTTCCCGAGCTCAGCACCACCCACACGTGGGCTGGGTTACTGCTGTGGGGGCTGCTTGTGGGATGCCTGCAGCACCTCCTCAGCTGTGACACAGTCTCTGGACATTGCCAAACGCTCAGGGGTTCTCACAGTCAGTTGAGAACCACTGCTGTGAAGGGATGGAAGCCACACCCCCGAATTCCAAGAGCCGACCCCAGCTAGTGGGATGCCCCCAACCTGCCCAGCTGTGGGTGGTCGTGCCCTGTTAGATTCACGGGCTCTGTTCGTGGTCTTACAGGGAAAAAAGCTCTATTGCTGATTTAGCAACCCAAACTGCCATGGTTCGGGGCAAGGATTAAAACTACCACTTTTTTCCCCAGTGATTTTTAAAAGTTATTAAAAGGCATCATCCACCCTGCTGAGCCCTTCTGATTGGGAAGCGTAAAAGATGACGTCCCACTTGGTAAAGAATTTACAGCAAAAGTGTGAATTGAGGAAGCATCCAATTTCTAAACAAATCTACACAGAAATACTGTGAAGGTGTGATGAAGTCACATCTTCATCATCCCTGAATGGAAGAGCTCCATACAAACATTAAAAAAAAAGCCAGCAATTTCTTATGTTCTCTTCAAAACAAATGTAAAATATGTGTGTGTACTTTTTTTTTTCCCTTTTCATTTTTTCTTAAATATAAATCAAGTGAATTTCTGCCTTAGGATCTACATGTTTTAAAGACTGTTTCTTTCTTCACCTCAGTGACTGCCCAGACTCACTAAGCAGCATTCAGCACTCTGTTCCCTGTAACGGACAAGCAAGGACAGGCGCTCACCCAGGAAGACAGGGCTTCTTGTGAAAGAAGCAACAGTCTCCTTTTTCGAGTGACGCCTCTAGAACTCGCCTGTCCAGGTGTGCCTGGCTTTAAGAAACCTGATTTGGGAAAAGCTCGATAATTCAGACCAGTGGGGGACCGTCCAGAGGAAACAACTCTTAAGAAATATCCTTTGAAATACACAGGGAGCCTTCGGCCAGGACAGTTCACGTTCTGTAAGGCCTTCCTCTAGTGCTCGGAGTGATCAAATGGTGAACTGGTTTTCTTTTAGCTAAATGATGCCTCCAATGTGCTTAAGGTTAAGTAATTACACAGACTCCCTTTCAGTCTATTTATTTACATGATTAATTTTGCTAAGTAAATCTGCTTCGTCTCCCCCAAAGAATACAAAGATAAACTTTGGCTGAGTCTTTGCAATTACGCTGCATAAGGATAATGCTCTGTGGGCTTTCCCAGTGCAATTAAATGCGACAGGGCATGACCCGGAATAACACGCCCAGAGCAGTGAGGAGGCACCAGGACGTGGAGAAGTAAGCTCTGGAGGCCAAGGCTCACCGACGAGTTCGGAACCTCACGCTTCCTGGGGGCAGGGACCTCCTTCGTGTCCTCTGAGCATGTAGCTCAGGGCCTGGTACAGGGCGCCCACTCCAGAAATATCTGCCGGCCGAGTGAGTCAACGGGAGAAAGGACCGGAAGCCATGGCAACATGGAACTCCTTCTGCCCAACTTCTACGGCAGAAAGTGCATCCTTTCCAAAATGCATCATCTCAAAGCCAGGCCCAGCCGTACGCCTGGCCCTCGATCCCGGGAGGACACACGGACACTTACAGCCCCACAGTTGGGCATTTCACAGATGAAGGAGCCTGCGGGCTGGCCGAGGGCCTGCAGGGGTGGCCCCTCCGCGAGAGCCAGGACAGGGCCTGGCTGCGGCTCCGGGGACTTGGGCACTTCACCCTCCTCTTCTCTTGTGGATTTCCTATCTTCTTCCTGGTCCTCCTCCTCCTCCTCCAACTCTTCTTCTTCTTCACTTGTCTAGTGTTAAGGCAATAAAAGCAAAAAGGGGAAAGTCCCCAAATGGCATTTTTAGTGAACAGAACTCACAGGCCAGGAGAGGGTGGAGGGGCTGGGTGCGGGGCTGCACCGGCTTCTCCCTGCACGAGGGACGCTGATCGAACCCTGGGCTGGAGGTGGGAAGTACTGTCTCACTGGACGCTGGGAATTCTGAGTCAGGGAAGTCCCGTCCACCCTGGGTCCCTCCTTAACTTATATAAAATATTTTAAGGCAGGGAGGAGAGATTTCTGTAGGTAGAGTTTCACCCCCTGGTTCGAGACTAAAACCCAGGCAAGGCTGCCCACTTGGGTCTGTCTGCCCTCTGTGTCCCCAGAGCCGTGTGGAGGGTTTCCAAGCAATAGCAACACTGTGGGACCCCGTGGAGAGAGGCTCAAGACCTATGGGATCTGTGCTATAGGCCTCGTAACCCACTTCCACGCAAGGTGCCCGAGATGTTGATCTGACTGGGGAAAGCACGTGACACTGGGTCTGTCTGCCCTCTGTGTCCCCAGAGCCGTGTGGAGGGTTTCCAAGCAATAGCAACACTGTGGGACCCCGTGGAGAGAGGCTCAAGACCTATGGGATTTGTGCTATAGGCCTCGTAACCCACTTCCATGCAAGGTGCCTGAGATGTTGATCTGACTGGGGAAAGCACGTGACATGGGTGTCCCAATGCGCTCCTGCTCTGATCTCGTCAGGAAAGAGAATCAGAGTGAACCACAATGACTGCAAAAAGGAGAGAACACGCAAGGGGATATTCCCTTCTATTTATCATGTGTTTTTCCCATCCTGGTCTCCGATCATGAGCTTGTAGAAATGCCTTCCAGAGGCATTCTAAGAACAAGAAAAGGCAGGTATTTTCTATGAATGATTATCCGCTCTGCTACCGTGTCCCCTCCACTTCAGAACAGCAACCAGCTGCGGAATTAAGCAGAAGGCCCACGCCTTCCCCAAGGTGAACAAGATCGTGAGTTAACAGAGCAGCTTGGAGTAGGCACCCAGGGTGGGTTGGGATGGAGGGCAGGGATTTAGAAGGCCCTCATTCTGCCTCTTGTTTAACTAATGTCCTCCTTCTGCTCTCCATCTTCATTCGGCCGGTGGGAGGGGTGACAGATGCTGGCTCCTCCAGGCCCAGTAAGGACTGGGGACCAGAAAAAGGGAGTTCTATGTTACATCAGCCTCGTTTCAGCTTCTGTTTTATAGCACTTTACAGTTTACAAAGTGCTTTCACATGGCCATATCACTGAATAGTCTGTAAACAGTCTCCACAATTTACGAGGAAAAGAAAGGCATGCCCAACCAATGGCACATTTGTCTCTGCCCGCCTTCCTCTCTCTTTTTATATTAAGTTTTATTTTTTTTAATTAAATGTATTTACATCAGCCTCGTTTCAGCTTCTGTTTTATAGCACTTTACAGTTTACAAAGTGCTTTCACATGGCCATATCACTGAATAGTCTGTAAACAGTCTCCACAATTTACGAGGAAAAGAAAGGCATGCCCAACCAATGGCGCATTTGTCTCTGCCCGCCTCCCTCTCTCTTTTTATATTGTTTTATTTTTTTTGAATTAGTATTGGGTTTTTTTTTACTTCAAAATAAGATATGTGCAGTATGCATAGGAATTTGTTCATAGTTTTTTTTTAAACTATAGTCCGGCCCTCCAATGGTCTGAGGGACAGTGAACTGGCCCCTGTTTAAAAAGTTTGAGGACCCCTGGCTTAAAGCCTGTGGGTTCCAGTTTGGTTTCCCCAGGCATCGACGTAACCGGAGTGAGCCTACGATTCTTAGAACCCAGAAGCAAGAATTCCCAAGAAGAATAAAGATTTCTGAGAGCAGTGGTACCCTGGGTCCTGAAACCACAGCTTCCCCTCTCTGGTTTGGACTGGGCTTGGGAGAAAGACAATGCCAGCACATATGGGGCATGTAGCCCTCCCCTCCCTGGGTCAGCAGTGTCTGTATTTAATACCACATACGCATATTTAAGATGATGTAGTAACAGGGTGTATTTAAGAACCAGTCCCAGTTTCCAGTGAGTTAATTAGGATTAATTAGTAATAATTACATTTGCTGAAAGACTTCAGTGAATACAGATGTAGGACTAATACATTTACAGAGTGATTTATGATAGAAGCTGTAGGTTTCGTACTAACGTACAAACATACAGGTTGATTTCATTTAAATGGCCTCATTTCCATATGAATCCTCCATCTTCCAGTCCCTAAGACTTTCAGCTAAAACCACGTTATGTCAAACTGCAAGGGTTCACTCCATTCCTTTATAGAACTGGAATTTTGTGGTCTCAAATACCAATTTATTAAGCAGCCCAAGGCCTATAGCTTGGCTTTTAAAATAAATTATGTAATAATTTTAAATGACAATGGCATTATTTCATGGTACTTACTATAATTACAATTTTCTCACAGTGCCATATTTTTGGCTTAAGAACTCTGAGGGGCCTGGCCAGTGTGGCTCACTCCGGTTACGTCGATGCCGGGGGGAAACCAAACTGGAGCCCACATCTTCCCATGCACTGAGAGGTTGCAGTTTGATTCCCAGTCAGGGCACATGCCCGGGTTTTGGGCTTGACCCATGGAAGGGCATGTGCAGGAGGCAACTGATGGCTCTCATATTGATGTTTCTCTCTTCCTCTCCCTCTCTCTTCCTCTCTAAAAACCAATAAAATAGTAAAAAAAAAAAGAACTCTGAGAAGAAACATTTCAGATAGCCACAAAATTACAGATTCAATTATACTGTCCTGTGATTATATATGTCTTAGGAATTTAGATAGATTGGCAATCTAAACATGCTCACAGAATGATTTATCATTAAGTCAAATGGCTCACCAAAGTGACTAAGAGATACAAATATAGGAGGACAAAAATCCTGACATGTAGAACTTCTTATCAAGTTGGCTATTTTATGATGTACTGTGAAACGAAACATCTATCAATATTCCAGATTTATAAGTGAAAATACAAATGTTCAACAACCCATATTTACTCCAAGACACAGATCTGAGTGTTACAGTCACTAATGGTGATGGTGGTGACAACATACTGAATGACTGCTGAGTCAGGATCCACACACATTGCTAGTTCTCACACAGCCCTGTACAAATTTTTCTTTTTTCTATTTATTTATTATTTATTTTTATATTGATTTCAGAGAGGAAGGGAGAGAGAAATGTCAATGATGAGAGAGAATCATTGATCAGCTGCCTCCTGCACGCCCCCTACTGGGGATTGAGCCCGCAACCTGGGCATGTGCCCTTGACTGGAATCCTGGGATCCTTCAGTCCGCAGGCCGACACTAATCCAATGGAGCCAACCGGCTAGGCCAAATTTTTCTTTTTCAAACAAATGAGGAAATTAGCCAGAAAACTAATTTGCCCAAGGTCACAGGGCTGGTAAAGAAGTTGAACTGAGATTTAAAACCTGGGCTATCTGATTCCCAAACCTCCCCCTTCTTCTCCCCTCGGCCCTGATGCAAATGTCCACAGGCGTGCGTTTGTCCACTTGTACATGGAGGCTTAGGTTTTCAGCTCAAACACAGAAATCCTAAGCCTCTCAGAACCACTGGGACCAGCTGCCTTTACATATCAAAGGGAAGCAGGATGTTTCCCTGGTTGGTGGACCATGATGTAGGTACCTAAGGTGCATAGACCACGATGAGCTTTGCCCTGGGAGCCTTGACCGCTGTCTTCCAAAATCAGTTAACTGTGTCAGTTTCCTGAATTGTGTTATCTTTTGGTCACAGCCAGACCCACAGATTTGTCCGGAGTGGAATCATGAGAATGGACAGGGCACAGGAAGGGGAAGTCAGCACACTCTGCTCCCATCTCCTTAACACAGACCATCTTGGCCCCTTCTGCCTGCGAGGGGGCAAGGGCCTGAGATGGCTTCAGGCCAGAAGGCAGACTACCCTGCTGGTTCCCTAAAGAGCCGCTGTTCCTCACAAACTCTCCTGCTCTCCCCTCTCCCCACACACGTCCCTAAGCTACCCGAGCATGTTCCAAGGTGGGGAAATGGCCATCTGTCCCTTTAATAACACACTGAGGACACGTGATCAGCAGAGCTACCCCCGGTGTCCAGGCAGGCTTGGGGGACAAAGAGCAGGACCCTGCCCTAGGACAGCGCCTTCTGCACCCTCCCCAGTCCTTGTACGGTCTTGACTTTTCACCTGTAAACTATCCTCAGGAGGCCGAGCCCTCACAGTGCCCCAAAGGGAGCTGAGAGCTACCACACTGGCCTTAGATCAAGGTTTTCTTGTTTTTGTGGGCCCGAGTCATCTCTGTACATACCTGTCTATTCTCCCTAAGCTCAGAGGTCATGAGGGCGTGGATGCTCCTGATCCAGCTCAATACTGGCTTCTGGTGACTAAGCCCAAGAAGGTGTGGCCCCTTGGGCACCAGCTCAACCTCTCAGAGCTCCTGAAGCTATAGGCTGGCCTGGCTTTTCTACCCACTTCACAGCCCTGTTGGCCAGGATGGTGCCTCTGCCTTGATGGTAACCTCTTCTTCCTCAGCAGCACCCTCTGCTCAGGATCACTGCTCACCTGTCTCCCTCCAGGGAGTTCTTAGAGGGATTATTACTATGCACCTCAGAAAAATGTTCATTCATTCATTCAGCAAGTATTTGTTGAGTGCCTCTGTGATGCCAGACACTATCCTAGGCACCTGATAACACCCAAGCCCAAGAGACGCCACTCTGCCTAAGGAAACCCTACCCTCTGGGTTGGCCTCTTCCAAAACATGGCTCTGACAGCCCCGAACACTCCAGAGTTGGAAGGGACTTTCCAGATCATCTAAGCCGTTTGCTCCATTTTACAGCCTAGGAGCCGGGTCCTGGGTCTCCAAGGGCAGGATTCTCGGTGCCTCCTTGTTTACTGTCTATTCGACCCATTTGCAGAGCAATGCTCGGTGTGACCTGGGCAGCCTCTGGCGGTGGAATGGTGGAGCTGGATGAGAAAGAGACTGCCTAAGGCCATATCTGAGAACTCTGTTCTCATCGCATGTTGCTTTAAACACGCTTGTGTAGCCACATCTTCCCAGCTAGAACATATGCTCCCCTGGGGGGGGGGGGCAGAGGCCATTTAACACCCGGAGTCACCCCCTGCGCCGTACATATTGCAGCTTACGCCGTGGGAGCTCAACTGGTCTTGTTTGCTTGAAGCAGATGAGGCCGAGTTGCTCTTTTTATTTTTTAATGTCTTCAGTGCCTGCAGCCTAGGGGTAGAGGCAGGCAAATGGTTCAAGGCCACAGTCTGCTCTGGCATGGGGCACCACGAGAGACCCAGGGGGACAGCCCTGCCCTAAATCCAAACCCATGCATCACATTGCTTTTTCCAACATTAGGCCACAGATGAGCAAAAGGCTATCCTGCTACAACACATCACTACTTCAACCAGTCAGACAAAAGCCCTGGTGCAGGAAAACCTCTCTACAGAACACTGTCCACTTTAATCAGAAGAATGGAAACCCCATTCTACTCCACAGATGTCTATTTTGTCTGATATTTGGGTCCAGATATAAATTTACATATGTGTGCAAATATCAGAGCTAGGGCACATACTTAGTTAGGAACGTGGGACTATGTGTTTTTATATTTCTTTAAGAGAATTTGCATTTGACTTAAGTATTACATGAGGGAATCAGGCTCAGACAACACACTCCCCAGCCATTGACCACAGCGAAGTTACTCTGTGCCTCAGTCTTCTACCTCATGGAATTGGAATGAGGATTAAACGAGTCCATATTTGTAAGCGCCTAGCACAATGCCTGGCACACAGCAAGTGTCTTTTTAAGAACTGACTGAGGACTCTCAGAAGGAAGGCGGGGGTGAGTGGGTGGCCGGGAGAAGTTAACCGGAGAACTTACATGCCTATACGCATGGCCCACGGACACAGACAATAGTGTGGCCAAAGCCTGGGAAGGGTGGGTGCGGGGTGCAGGGAGTCAATGGAAAAAAAACAAAGGGGACCTCTGTAATACTTTCAACAATAAAGATTAAAAACACACACACAAAAACGTGTCTTTTCAAGAAACCCCCTCACCCCCCACATATGTGCTAACACTCATACTGGGGCACCATGGGGAATGAAAGTATGATGACAAATATTCACCCCATTCATGAATTCTAGGCACCTTCCCTGATGACGACAGAGGCTGGGGTTCAGTAATTGGTTGTAGACATGTACCTTGTACATACATACATGGCAGGGACTGTTTTCCACAGCAGGTGGGAGTGCCCCTGGCCACGGACACAGAGAGGAGCGCTCCCCCCAAGGGTGAACGTGGCAGTAACGACCAAAGCCACACGATACCAGGGGTACATGGCGATGTGAGGGCTGCAAGGATCACTCCTCAATAACCCAGCGTCCCCCGCCCCATCTGGAGGTCACGCCCCTTCCTGCTGTGCTTCAGGGAAGCCGCGGCCAAGCTGAGGCGCCTTCATCTTTGGGAGGCACCTCACGTTCTCTGGCCAGCGCCGTCCACGATGGGGAAGGACGAGGAAGGGGTGTGCCAGGGGGTCAGGGCACCTGCTTATAAAAAAACCACCCACCCAAGGCTGGGGCCAATCTGGCTTAACTCTCTGGCTCCTGACAGCTACAGGCCGAACCCAAGCTGCCTTCCCTCGGCCTCTACACCAGAAAGTCAGAGCCTGCATCCCACCAGGGAGCGGGCTCGTCACCCCCTCCCTGAGGCCACCTGGGCAGCAAAGCCAAACCAGACAGCGGCCGCTTACTAACCTGGGTGTGGGGTGGGAGCAGGGCCAGCATAAGCAGTGACTCGGCGGCTTCACTCACCATACAGTCATCCGCGAGCTCCGTGAGGCGTGTGCGGTGCTTCCGACCCAAGCGCATGATTTTCTTCCACGTGTAGTAGTACTCCACGCACTGAGCCACCGTCTTAGACTTCACCTGCGGGGAGCCGGGGCAAGGTCAGCTCCGAGCAGCAAACTCTGGTGAACACTTCGTTTGGTAACAGGCGGCAGGCTTATGCGGTTGAATAGAGAGTGTATCCAGAGAGAAATCTCCTTCTCACGCCTGCTCTCCAGCCAGCCAGCTCACTCCCCGCCCGGCCACACAGCTATAGCCCCTCTTACTGATTTCTTGGATAGCATTCCAGAATTTCTTTACTATTATTGTCACTACGATGAGGGGCCCAACTCCAGAAACTACTGGCTTGAGGGGGGAGGGCACACATCTTCCCTTCTCCAGTTTCCCAGAAAAAAATTCTGCTAGAAACACGATAGATGGGTCAAATAGACATGAATACATTATTTTAATTGTGAATCAGAAGCCCCAGGTCTATTTATCCCAATAGGATGCATAAATTAAACATTTTTATGCATATTACTAACAAACACAGAAGCACAGTCCTGCCCCACCGTTTTCCTCGCAGAAGGTAGCACATGCATGTTTTGCAATTTGATTTTTTTACAGTGTAGCCTGGGGACTTTTTCCTGTCAGGCCTCTGAGAGCTCATTCCCTTTTTTAACCCATGAAGCAGCCTGCTTTTGCATTAAACGTGCTGGAATGTGTCTGGGTGTCTGACTTGCTGACCTTCAAAACCCATCTATGAAGAATGTTCCTTAGTCATGGAACAGGAACGTAAGGCAAAGCTATAATGACAAGAGCTTAGTTTTCGCAGGAAACAAGCCTTGCTCTGCTCGCCCCAAAGGGGGAAAGGTAAATGTCTTTTTTTTTTAAAAATATAGTTTATTGATTTTTTACAGAGAGGAAGGGAGAGAGATAGAAAGTTAGAAACATCGATGAGAGAGAAACATCGATCAGCTGCCTCCTGCACACTCCCCACTGGGGATGTGCCCGCAACCCAGGTACATGCCCTTGACCGGAATCGAACCTGGGACCTTTCAGTCCGCAGGCCGACGCTCTATCCACTGAGCCAAACCGGTTTCGGCGTAAACGTCTTTTAAAGAGAAAAAAGTCCTTTCCTTAGTTCATGTATCTCTAAGCTCTGAGTGCGGTTGGATAATGTGTGTTTTCTGGAGGCAGGGAAAAGCTGGCGGTGCCCTTGGGGGCGGGAACAGGGCCACCGCACGGTAAGATGAGGACACCGGACACCACCAGGAGTCTCGTCTCCTCAAAGCTGCCCCTTCACATCCACCTGATACCTTGAATTTCTACACTAGAATCGCCGGGGGCGGGGGGGGTGGGCGGTGAGGACAGTGTCCCAGAGAGCCCTGGCTTAAAAACCCATGCTTCCTGACAAGCTTGGCACATGAATCTATCCTCAGTCAACAGGTGTGAAGCCTGCAAGGAAGGAGGCCTAGGCCTGGCCAGTTTGCTCAATGGTTAAAGCCCCGGTCTCAGGTTCAATTTCCGGTCAAGGGCATGTACCTCAGTTGCAGGTTCGATTCCCAGCCCCGGTTGGGTTGCATGCGGGAGGCAACCACTCAATGTGTCTCTCTCACATCGATGTTTCTCTCTCTCTCCCCATCCTCTTCTCCCTTCCACACGCTCTCTAAAGATCAATGGAAAAAATATCCTTGGGTGAGGAAAAAAAAAAAAAAGGAATGAAGCCTAGGGCAGGTGACTCAAGATCAGAGCAGGGAGCTGGCGCAGAGAATGTGGTGGCCTCCAGGGCAGGGAGCCGGGAGTGATACAGATCTGGAGACAGGCCAGCTGGACAGAAAGTCCACCTATTCAGATCTCCGTCCATCAAGGCCCTCAATCAAGGACATGTACCCAGCTCACCCCTGGTACCACTGGCCCAGCTCGGATCCAGGGGAGCTGTCACCTGTGACCCCGTTCTCTGTGGACCTGAACACCTTTATGAGCACGTAATGAACATGCTCCGTCACTCAGCGATCCACTTAGAGTCATTTTAACTTCTAGCCTAAACCACCTCTGAGCCAAGTAAGGCCGATTAGGTTTGCCACCTGCTGCATAAAGTGCTACCGCGGCTACTAGTACGTGCAAGAGTTCCATTTTGCTGTGAAGTGCTGTATATATATGTAAAGCATCATTTTTACTATTACTGTCATTATGATTAGGGGCCCAACACCAGAAACTACTGGTTGCGGGGAGGGCACATCTCCCTTCTCCAATTTCCCAGAAAAAAAATTCTGTCAGAAACATGACAGAGTCGTCAAATGCCCATGAAATAAATTATGTTAATTGTGACTCAGAGGCCCCAGTTCTATTTATTCCAATAAGAATGCATAAATGACACATTTTTATGAAGATATAAATAAACCCCCATCACTCTCAAATAGTCTATGTCCCCCCCTCCCCCTCCCCCGGGACACTGGGGCCATGCCACCCTTCCCCAGCCAGGGGTGGAAGACACCCTTAGAAGAGCATGAGGCCAGGAACCAAATCCTTCTACATATTTTTCCATGGACAATTACACAATTCGGTTTCAAGTGAGCAACAGGAAAGGGCATGCTTACCATCTTCTGTACAAAAATAAAGTCTTTGCTGCAAGTGGCTAGTGCTTTGTTAAACAGTTTTCTTTCTAGGGAGGTCCACTTGTCCGAACCTACGACAAAACACACGCTTCGTTAGGAATGGCTCACAGCTCTCCCCACTTCGCCGTCCCAGCTTCACGGGTCTCCCCACCTTAGTGGCTGGTTCGCTTAGTTAAGGTACGGAACGAAACTGTTCAACAAATAACAGACTATCCATCAAACTCCTTTCTGAACAAAAAGCCAGTGCAGTGTAAGGGCCGGTCTTAGCTGTGGCCTTGATCTTACCACATTACTGACCCTGAGACTCACTTCTGTTACCAACAAATGGGGAATAATTCTAATTGTCCCCACTTTCAGGATATTTATGAAGGTTAAAGACAATGCACAGAGTGACTAGGTTAGGAACTGGGAAACAGTGCGCGCTCGACACCTTTTAGCTCCGGGTTTTATATCGTGATGATGTTCACGAGTGCAGGCATTCCCGTAGCAAGTGCTCCTTGCAATGTGGTGGACTCAGCAGTCTCCACCCCCCGGAGGGTCACAGTCCAGGGGGGAGGCAAACCAGGAAGCCACTGCACGCAAGGTGATGACCGCAGTGAGGAAGGTAGAAGTCAGGTGCCAGTGGGGCGCCAAGGAGGAGCACGCGCTCAGGTGAGGGCCGGGGCACCCGAGTGGAGTTTCCAAGGACACAGAAGCAAGTCGGGCAAGGAGATGGAAGGGAATTCCGGGGAGAGGAAGTGTGTGTGCAAAGCCAGAGGCAAGCAACGAGAGGATGCATTTCATTCCTTCCTTCATCTACCCATCCACTCAAGAGATGCTTATTAGGTGTTTACTACATGTAAGAAGCTGTGCTGGGGGAAAAAGCTAACATTTCTAAAATGCTTACGATGTGCCAGGTTCTAAGTACTTCACAGAAATTAGTCATTTGGTTCTACCAACAACCAATATGGGTATTACCAATACCCATCGTACAGCTGAGGAAATGGAGGGGTTCGAGGAATAAGCAGCAATCCAGTGTGCTTCAACTATAGGGCTGCAGCAGAGGGAGAGCAGATGATGCTGGGGGAGTGGGACCAGTTCCTGATAGACCTGCAGACCAACGAGGAAGAGGCCCCGTGAGGCTGGGCTGGTGCATCTGTCTTGCTGGCTAAACTTGACATTCATGTCTATTTCCTCCCTAAAGGAGAAAGCAGCATATGCAGATGGTTGTAGAGAATGGTGCTGGGCTCTTTGGGGCAAGACATAAAGCCTATTTCTAGGGGCTTTGCAGAAAATCAGCCTCATTCTTCAGGTTGTTTGAAGTCTCCTATCTCTAATTCTTTGGATGGTACGTGGATGCGTTTTTGACATTCCTCTACTTCTCGAAGCTGTAATTCCCCAAACCATGCTATTTTTCCTCCCAACCAGGACAAGCCCAAGGTTTCCACTTTGCTATGGTTGACTGATGGGGCTGAAGTACAGGAAACCTGAGTTGCTTCTTCGCTTGGAAGATTCAGCCAAAATTAGTGAATCCGGTGAAACCACTCTGGGCAGGCAGGGGTTGACGATCCTGGAGTCCGTGACTTAGTGATGTACACTCAGATTTCTGGAATAAACACCCCTCCGTGTGGGGCCTCAGGCCAAGAGCTCTGAGTCCTGACTCAGAATATGCTCTCCAGAGCTGGGCTGGTTCAACCCCCGGAGAAATCAGGGCCATCAACGGACTTGGTTGATTTCTTTACTTCTAGAAGGAAAGCAGTTTTCTGATTCATCCTCAGCAGAAGACATGAGGTTCTGGAGGCCGGGGCACCCCCGGCTGTGAGAGCCACCGCACAGAGAGGAGAGGCAGGCGGGTGGAGAAGCACTGCAGGAGTGGGCGTGAGCGGAGGAGGGTGGCGGGATTTGGGCCCTGGAGCAGGCCCATCGCCATTCCTCAAATTCTGTCCAACATTCCAGGCCTTGGGGTCCCAGCTCCCGTATGCACCCCCCCTCCCCCCTCCCGGGGCAGAGATGGAAAGGCAGAAAGGATGAACCAGCAATGTAGAGGACCAACCGAAGAGGAGTCATGGATCCTCTCAGGTGTCCATCAAAATAGAGAGAGCTCAGAGCAATGACGGTGGAAGAGGATCATGACGGGGACGTGTCACAGCAGCCGAGTCCCAGGGAAGTTTCTAAAGAGGCGGATGTGCTGCCCGGCTGTAGGCCCAGGGTCTGTGCAGCTCTGGGTTGCATCTCAGATGGGGAACCAGGGGACATTCTGTTGATGAAAACCCCTAACTAGGTCAACGAGGATCCTTCCCACGGTCAGCCAGACGGTACATTTCCCAAGTCTGAGTCCAGCTAAGACCTGGTGAGACACGAGCAGGGCCACCCAGCCTGCCTTGGCCAGCGCCCTCTCCGGTGGATACGCTCCTCCAGCCCACGCGGGGCTCACACCTGGTTACTGCCCACGCAGCCGTGTTAAGTTCCCAGGTCTGTCTGTCTCCTTGTGAGAAGCCTGCCCCTTCGTGTCCCCAAATGGCTCGCCAGCTGCAACCCTACACAGGGGAGGGGACTTCCGGGACCATCTGCTACGGAGGATCCTCAAGCCTCGTGCGACTCCTTGTGGTGCTAGAGCTGCTGCCCTGTGGCGGGGTCTTCAGTCTTCCCCATCTCAGAGTGTTCACTCCGCACCCAGGCCCTGGGCTGGAAGTCTGCCCTCTCACGCCGTCCTCGGTCACCCTCCCATTCCCAGGCTGCAGCGGTGGGGGCAGGGAGCACGCGCTCAGAGCAGACAGCTGTGAATCGACAGGCAGAGGCCTCCTGGTCACGGGATCCGCACCAGGGCTGAGAATCCACCCCTGGGCGGCCGGACTGAATTTCCAGGTTAGAGCCTGTTACACAAATATAACACCTGAATGCGTGCTCCCCAAATAATGTCGCTGCTGTGACACAAAGGGGTGACTTTCATCAGGAGACCAGAGGCGGTGGACCTGGTTCTGCCACTCACTCCTTCTGTGACCCCAGGCAAGTTTCCTTAACGTCTCCGAGTCTGTTTCCTCTCTTGTGACATGGGGATCGGGACAGGCGCTCTGTGACTGACAGCATTTGGTCCCGAGGAAAATGTTGGACACCTTCACTGGCTTGTAGCGATGGGACACACGCTGTCTCCTGTGACCCTTGCATGAGCGGCACTCAGGAAGACAGCGGGGCTTGGCCAGTGTTCCCTGCTCTGCGTATGAATGAACAACAGCCTTCCTCCTGGCCGCCCGTAACTCCCAGCCTTCCACTCCCTGCCCCGGATCGCCAAGGAGAAGCTCAGGCATCGCTCGTCCCTGCAGTCTCTGTTCTGACAGAGGAGCGCTTCCCTCATTCTCTGACAAGGTTTTCTAAGCCAGCCCTGCTTGGTTGGACTGTGCATCTTGGACAAAGTCCAACAGGAAATGCAAAAGCGAGGCAGGGGGCCGCCTCAAATCCTCCGCTGGCCTTCCTCTCAGATCCCCGCTGTCCACGCAGCAGGCACACAGTGAGGGGCTGACAGCCCCCAGCGCTCATTTGTTCTACCTGAGATTCCTGGCTCTCGGGCTATTATCAGCAGGGGCCCCTAACAAGACGATTAAGGCTAATTACAAAGAGCCTAATTAACTGGAGGAAACTGGCGCTGGAACAGTATCCAGAGGAAAAATGTTCTGAGTGTGCGTTGCCGGGAGACAGGCTCTGGACCGAGGCTAAATTTGGGGCAATCCATAGCAATTCCCAGCGATTGAAGGGACACGGAGAGGAGAAGTCTGGGCACGGCATCTTTCAAGAGGGCCTTCCTGTCTTCCTTTCAAGATGAACAACTTTTACTGACACTGTTATTAGAGTTATGTAAGGAAGATATTCATTGTAGAAAAGGGCTGTTTTTACACCAGATTTTCACTTCCGCGAGAGGTTTTCCATCGTGTGTGGAGGCTGAATAACTGTTTAGGGGTGCAGGGTGAAGCGGCTGCTCCCACATTCCCTCCGGAGGCACGCGGAGGGAGGCCTCAATCCGATTCCAGAACTCGAGCTTGTCCACTAGCCCAGTTCTTTACAAGGGCTGGGTAAGGCAGAGAGAGAGGAACGGTTGTCACCTCCTGCCCTTCAGGGGCCCACTCTGCAGCTAGAGACATGTGTGAGGAATGCCTGGAAAGTGACATCTCAGCTGTGTTTCTTGAAAAGTATTCTCTTGAGTATGTCATTCTGTCTCCTCATTAAACTGGGGCAGCTTCCCGGACAGGGGGCAGGCTTCCCCCCGCCGATGGGTGTTTATTTCCTCTGGGCCTCCCTCCTCTCTGAGCCAGGTCAGGCTTCAGGACCCAGTGACCAGCGGGGCTGTGGTGGGAGCCGAGAGTGGCTTCTGTTGAACCCTGGCCAAGAAGCCGAGGGCCAGTTCTGACACCCCCTCCACTCCACACCCACCTGCAGGAATGGCCAGTTCAATGGAAAGCCAAGGACGCTGCGGGCTCTCTAATTGTAACCAGGCGTCTTCCCACCCTGACCCACCAGGCTCACGCCTTCCCCACCTAATCCATCTGCGGCTGGGGAGCCACTGCCAACAATTGCTACCCAACCTGGGTGGAGGGCGCCGAGAGCCGCTGCAATCGAACTTCCCTCCGAGGATCTCCACAGGGTTCCTCTGGCCCCGGCACGCAGCCCCCAGACCTGGGCGAGCTGCCCACCCACACCGGTGTCTCCCCTGAGCCCCTGCATCAGTCACTCTTTCCTTTTCTTACTGAATTTCTTGGGCTGGGGTGTGAAAGGGGAGGCCATGAGTCAAGTAAGAGAAATGATTTCCACAGGCTTGTGTCTCTGTCTATCTCCCCCAAATGTACAGCTTCCCTCCCTGAGCGGACTCTCTGCCTTCCCTCCAGGGCACAGGCAGCCTGGGAGATCTGCCGTAGCCACCTCTCAGGACACCTGGGAGAACGGGAGTCAGGGTGGGGACACTGGCCACAGCCACAGAGACAGAAGCCAAAGGACACCCAGGAGATGGTGTCCCAGTGAGGAAGGGAGCTGACAACAGTCCCACCGGAGAGCAGCCCCATGGGGCTTGGCACAGAGGCCAACGCAGGGGGGCCACAGGGGTGGGATTACCCAGCAGCCGGAGCCACACAAGGAGGGGGCAGGGAGGGAGTGGCTGGGAGCTGGGCATGTGAGGGGTAAGTCCTGAGGCCTCCCCTGTGGCTTGGAAGGGAAATGTTAAGGGAATGGAGTCAGGTCAGACTTTACAGACCAGTGACCTCTGCCCTTTTTGCTCATAATTCTAGAAGGTTCCATGGGGGTCCAGTCTGGGTCACTTCTTGGAGAAGGCAAAGGACGGGCGGACGTTGATGAGCACTCTTTTCTCGGGGACACACAGCTGGCAAGATACCAGCCCTTCATACCGCAGCTCCACCTCTCTTGCCTCCAAGGGGAGAAATGATTCCAGGAAGAAACGGGGTCCTTCCCGGTCTGCTTGTGGGCTGGGGCAGGGGCTGGGTAAAGGTTAGCTGGGAACCCCCAACCCCAACAGATCGATTCATTTCAGCAGCGTGTAGGGCCCTCTCATTTCAAAGTTCTTGGTATTATCTTAGCATTTTTGTTTTGTTTGGGGTGGAGGGTGGCTTCTAGTCCCCAGCTTTCTAACCTTTTTGATGTCATGTCACACATAAAAAATAACAATGTTTGCTTGGCACAGTGGGAAGAACTGGAGGGGATGAGGGTCTCAGGTGAGGCTGTTCACAGCTGGAGCTGACCAGCCTGGGGGCACGGCCACCCAGGCACCTGCGGGCCCAGAGCAGCTGCATCTCCCAGCGGATGGCTCAGAAGCTCCTTCTCATCAACCAACCGTCTCACCTGCCATGCAAAGAAGCTGAGGCTCCAGGAGGCTGGACAGCCTGTCAGGGTCTAATGGGCAGCAGCGGACACTCGGAATTAGGAGAGGATTACACTGTTTCAGTGGCAGATTAGGGAGAACGCCCACATCTTCCTACCCGCTCTCGGGCAGACACCCAGCAGGAAATGATGGAGACAATATTAAGAGACTGCTGGTTAGGCCACTGGTTCAATGATGGCTTTCTGATCCCTTGTGTCTATTTTGTCCCTGGCCCAGTTCCAGCGGTGGCCTGTGTGCTGGGCTTGCTGTGCTCAGGTGAGCGGCTTCTGAGGCCTCTCTACCCTGAGATGACAGGCAGGAAGGCCAACGCATGAGAGGAGCAGGTGAAGTGAGGCAAATGGTGGTGGCGACAGGATGCTCACTGGGAGCTCCAGTATTTGAAAAGCAGCTCTTACCGCAGGCCTACCTGGCCATCTGGACCAAGGACTGGAAAAGGTATTCTGAGGTCCCCAAACCCACTAATGTACTTAGCATCTACCTATGCAGGGTCTGCCCAGGGCACCAAGGAAACAAACAAATGATGAATAATCAAGGGGCACTGGAGGGTCCAGCCTCCTCTGAAAGACAGAACCCAGGCAGGTTTGTCGGGACCCTCAGAATGGATGGGTTTACAAATTAATGGGAATAAAATGCTGACTCGTGTCATCTCTTAGGCTCCCCAAACTGTTTCCTTCTCTGTCATGATGCTCACTCCATTCAGCGCTCAAAGGTGCTTTCTCCCTCCCTCTTATTGGTGATGCCACCGGTAATCTAACCCTCAGGAGACACACTCACGTGTATGTATATTATGTTTTGTTTACATATGCATATATGCACCATTTCTCCTGCTCTCAGTGCAACCCGTTGTTTAATAACTGCCTCCATCTCAGACGCTACACTGCACGAGGTAGGAATCTGACTATGTCTGTCTTAGTCACTGTTTCATCTTAGCATAGTCCTTGTACACAGTAAGTGCTCAATACGTAACTGTTAGATAAATGAATAGTAATTGCCTCTAGAACATGCCAGGCATCCGGGCTATATATATTCTATCTTGAATCTTTACAAAACACTGCAAGAGATGGAGCATAAGCCCCATTTTACAGGAGAGAAAATGAAGGCTGCAGAGGCCAAGGGTGCAAGTAAGATCTGAACGCACATCTACTGACTCCAGAGTAGAGGGGCTGCTGCCTGTTGCTGCCTCTGTGCTGTATCCCACACGTCCCTTTCCCCAGACGCTCAGGGCTCCCTGCCACATGCGCAGGCGCGGTCCGCTATTGCCTTGCTCCTGGCACACCCACAAGGGGCAGGAGCCCAGACAGACAAACACTCAGCAGTGCCCAACACACACGGCTGCCCCATCAGCTACCCCAGGAAGCCTTGAGATCAAAAGCGCTGATTAGGACTGAACCACGCTATCTACCATTAAAAAGGCAACAACCAAACACGCAAACAGCCCACTCGCAGGAAGCAAGGGGGCGCGGGGCTGCGGGCGACCTACCGGCATAGTGGTAATTGGCTAAAGGATGACATTTTAACCTGACTGGCTTCCGCAGCAGCAGCATTTCCAGAGCAGCCTGTAGACCCGTGGGAGAGAAAAGGCGAGAGTCAGTAATGGGTCTGTGTCCTGAGGAGACCATCTGCCTAAGGGGGCAAAGGGACCGGCACTGCAGAGGGTGGGGTTGAGGGCACTAGAAGGCAAACCAGAGGGAGACCCCCTAATCGGGAGTTCCTTTCTGGTCAGCACCCCACAGGGCTCGCCACTCTAACCATCCCCCAGCCCATGCCTGCAACCAGCTGGTCAGGCCTGAGACCCCAACCCCCCTTGTTGGTGAGGGCCCAGCCTCAGAGAGATGGTGGGGCCCCCTCTAAAAGGAGGCTGAGTATCTGGGGAAAGAGTCTGAGGAAGTGAGTGGGTGATTTGAAACTGTTTTTGCAGAAAAATCATATTTCATTACAACTAAACATCAGCAGCTGTATTAGTGATAACTGTACTAGACAGTGTCCTCCCAGAGAACCTAGCTACATACATCCTTTCAAATCTGTCTCCTTTAGCCTCGCTGACTTTTTAAGAAAAACGCTGCAGGCGGAGTTGAGCAGTGCATGGTTGACGGGCAGAGCAAGATCCAGCGTCCTGGTACTCCAAGTGTGGTCCACACACCAGCAACACGGGCATAGCTGGGAGCTGGTGGCAAAGGCCCCACCTCCAGAACTTTGGAATAAAAACCTGCACTTTAACCAGGTTCCCTGAGTGACTCATGTGCATGCTAAAAGTTCGAGAAGTGCTGCTCCTCAATACTAATCTGAAAGGGTTAAGGAAAGTTCCCCAACCTTCTAAAAAACCCCTGAAGGGTATCAATAACCTCACGAGAAGGGAGCATTAGGGCATTTGCTTACTTTCAGATTTTCTTGAAATAAAACAGCAGGAAGCTAGATCTGGTACAAAAATCATGTATTTACTGAAGAGGAAACTAAGGTTAGTGTTTGAATGGCCTCGCCTGGAGTCCAGGTTGAGCGGGCAAATGGTCAGCTCTGATTCTGGAGAGATGGCACCAAAGTTCTGGTTTGACCAAAGAACTGTGTCAAAGGTGCGAGAATATGCAAACACTCCATTTTGGTTAAGAGGGGTTTTCCTACAGGCTTTTAAATCCTGACTTACTGAGATAAGAAACAGGAGGTTCGCCGATGGGACATCATCTCATGAATTAGTTGTACGGTACATGGGACAACCCAGAAATTTGGGAAAATACTTTTCAGAATCCTGGCATGAAGAATATGAACTGTGAAGACGACTTTTCGTGGCTCCTTACCATCACATCACCTTTGGCCTCAAAGAGACAGTGCAAAGCAAATTCAGAATTGGTCCCTCCACCTGGCAACGCACTTGAACAGCACAAATTCAGGAGATTCTCCACTGTGGGGAACAAGAGGCCACTGCATCAGAGAGCTCAGTACCATGGAAAACCACACAGGTCCGGGAGCCAGAGACCCTGTGAGAGAATCAAGCCTTCCTGCTCACTTCTTCCCACATGACAACATAGTGGAACATCGTTTCTCGAACTTAATTCTTTCCGGAAGACTGTTCGAAAACCGATGTGTTGGAAAACCGAATCATCTTTTCCCACTGGAAATAATGCTAATTGAATTAATATGTTCCAGACCCCCAAATGATTCCGCTTTAACCTTTCTTATAGACAGTACATATCTAATGTACTGTTTAATTTATAAATAAACACGTCTTTTCTTAAATTTATAGAACCATCCCCTACTAGCCTTAAACAAATTTTTCATATATCATTGCCTTGGAAATGCTATCACCAAATAACTGCTTTTCCTTTATCCAATCAACAACAGTTTTTCTACGTATTCACTTGCCTGTGATTGTTTTGTGAACACTTTCCCACCCTTAGCAACTCCTTTCTTAAAAAAATATATTTTTATTGATTTCAGAGATGAAGGGAGAGGGAGCTAGAAACATCAATGATGAAAGAGAATCATTGATTGGCTGCCTCCTGCACGCCCCCTACTGGGGATTGAGCCTGCAAGGCAGGCATGTGCCCTTGACCAGAATCACACTCGGGACCCTTCAGTCCCAGCAGGCCGATGCTCTATCCATTGAGCCAAACTGGCTAGGGCAACATTAGCATTCTTGATGGCCTCTTTATGTTTTAAAATTGTGATTTCACCAGCAACAAAAGCATTCTCTCCTTTGTTTGTTGCCTGAAGGGTGCTTTTTGTTATGTTGAAGTATCAGCATGAAAGGGTTGTCAGGTCAAAAACTGAAGTTTTGGTCGACAAGGGAGACATTTTTACAGGAATATCTTGGTCGAGAACCGAACTGTTTGAGATGGGAGACGTTCGAGAACCGAGGTTCGACTGTACCTCTTTGCTGGAAGTCATGGTTTTCCAGCTCTGGCCAGGGCTTCCAGACCAATGTGGCCTTGTGTGTGTCCTGGGCCACGGCAGAGACATCCTGCAGTTCTGGGATCTCTGCTTGGAATCTCAAGCCAATGTTGATGCGCCTTTAATGACAAGAAAAACAACAGTGTGGTCTTCAATTAGAGGCCAAGGGCAACTGTTAGGAACTTTAAAAAGAAGGAAACCAGTTCCTTCTGCAAGAAGAATGCAGGGGCATTTCCTAAGTGTGACCCTAGATTCCAGGCATGGCCCTTTCACTGGGATAAGGGACAGCTTTAAGATTGGGGGCGATGCTGCGGGAAGCAAGGGAGAAGTCAGCTGGGCTTCATCTCTCTCTATGACTGAGAGATGGAGGGTGCTAAGTCCAAGGGAACAGCTGCCAAGAACATATGGATACCATTCAACCAGGAGAAATGGGACAGATACAAAGTGCTTATTTCATTTTTTTATCTCTTTCAGGTCACTCTCACATAAACCATCTATCTCATCTGAAACTATCGAAGTTCTGTGACATAATCAAGGCAGTGAAAAATATTCCCATTTAATGAATGAGTTAACTAAAGCCTACAAAGGTTAATTTGATTAAGATCAAGTAGCACAATGGGGCTGGAACTCAGGTTTTCTGATTCCCGACTCAATCTACCCCCCACTCCACCTCAGGGCCTCTCTTCTGTGCTCCTCCATGCAAATAACCATCCTTTCTTTCCACCCACGACTCAACAAGCCCATCCGGAGGGCTGGCCAAGAATCTTAGGGAGGGGATGGGCGAAGCAAGGACATTTGGAAGAAGCCTCGTAGAGAGCTGGGCACCCGGAGAGAGAGATGCGTCAGTGTCACTGGAGATGTGGAAGCATCTGACCACAGCCCCAATGGCCCATGGAGCCAGAGATGGGGATGCTAGGTTCTCTGAATCCAGGGCTTCAGGCTTTACTCTCCACTTAGTCTTTGGCAAAGGCCTTGAAACACGCAATTACAGAGAAACAACAGTACTCGAGAAATAATCAGGATCCTCCAATTTCTACAACCTCTCCCTCAGTGGCCACGCCCACCCCAGACGTATGAACTCCATTTCTCAGAGCTCCTCCTCCCTTTCCTCAGCTGAGGCTCCTGTGCTACAGAATAATTGGCTTTTCCTTACGGTTCAACATCAACGGTCTGCTCTCCAGGCCCGGGGGTGACTGTCACATTGCTGCCATCGATGCTGTCTGAAGCACAAAAACCAGAGTCACTGGTCAATAGGGGAAGGGCACTCAAGAAACTGGAGCAAATAACAGTTACCTACGCAGTCACAGCAGAGCCCTCCTACCCCGCCCATGCCAGTTCCTCCCAGTGGCCTCCAGGGAGCTGAACACAGTGTGGTGCTAACTGGCTTAGGGTAACCATTCCCACACAGGGGAAGGGAAGGCGGCTGCCTGCCGCACTCTGGTCTGCTAAGCTGTGTGTTTCTATGAAACTATTCTTGCTCCAGAAAGAGATCCTGGCCACGGGTCCCTCCATCTTTTTTTTTTTTTTTTTTAAATCTTTATTGTTTAAAGTATTACATGTCTTCTCCCCACCCCCAACCCCCATTGACCCCCGTCTAGCCAGCCCCTGCCCCAGGCCTTCCTCACCCTATTGTCTGTGTCCAAGGATTATGCATCTATGCACACAAGTTGTTTGGTTGATCTCTTCCCTCCCACTCACCCACCCCGCCCTCCCTCTGAGATTCCCTCCTGCTAAAACGTGGAGGCCTGGTCTTGCAGAGCATACCTGGTCCTATTTAGGCATCTTAGCACATTTATTTGGGGCGTCTCCCTGGATTCTCCAGGGCACCCTCTGATTTAGTGTACACACACATCACCTGTTTCCTTAGCCCACAGAGGCTGCCATTATCACCCCCTTGCGTTTGCCCCTGGCTAGACCAGGATCCCCTGCGGGTAAGCATTCCACGCTTTTGCAAATAGTATTTCTAGCAACCAGCACCGTGCCCGGGCCGCGGAGGAGACGCGCCACAGAAGTCGGTGGTGCAAAGAGACCAGGACAGAAAAGTGAGACCCCCCAGAGCAATGCCCAGCACAGACGGGGCGAAACCCCCGGGGTCCCTGAGGGGCGCAGGGGTGACTCACTGGAGCGACACAGCAGCACGCGCGGCGTGGGCGTCAGGGGCGTG